AGGAATGCCAATCTCCCAGTAAGAAACACCAAAATATTTTTTCCAGAAAGAAAAAAGTTCTCACTCTCATACAGACACACACTAATCCAGTACAGTTATAGCTTTCAACACTTTGTGCTCTTGATGAATGAATCTCCTGTAATTACAGTGACCTACTCACCATCTTCTGTAATAGTACCACTGCTGGAACCATTGCTCTTGGCCTGTCTGTGAGAAGAAGAGAGAGAGGACTCTGTGTTGTGAACCTTAGGAGACGGGGAGGGTGATGGGGAAGGTGTGAGAGTTGGTGATGTGCTTTTAGACGTAGATGAAGTCCCAGATGGAGGTCTTTTGTTCATCTCCAGTTTTTGCTGTAGTTAATGATATAATCATTTCAGTTTAAAAAAAAAAAAAGTTTACGTATATATGATGCTTCAATATTACTGAAATTGCATATCATTTCTGCAGAGCATGCAGTCACAACTAGAAGCTTCTGCTTGATCCATATTGAAATAATTGGAGTAATACTGATTTATCCCAGGTGAAAGTCTGTCCCCTCAAATTCATCAAGGAAAATACATTTATTAAGGCTGCAATTTTGGAATAAGAAAATGATTTCTTATAAAGCAATACTATATACAAGCACTACAATTATTCCTTTTAGAAAATGTGAAATTATTTTGACTCTGAAAATAGGTCTTTTCAACTCAGAGATTTAATTAAATAAAGCCTCAATTAAAGCTTTTCCAAATGTATCAGATGCTAATTTAAAGTAGCACTTCATGCTGGATTAACCAGAAATATGCAGCAAGCATAATCTAAGTTTCAGGAGCATTTCACTGGAATGAAAGTTTCCAGTCAACCCTTATACTTGTTATTACCTAACATGAGTCAAATTATTTCAAATTTATTAAATATTTTGCAAATATTTAATACATTTTGAGGCATGGAAAACAGGAAAATAGACGACTTCCAAATGAGGAATAAGGATATGTATGTATATCAGTCTTTTCCAAAACAAGTTAATGTGCCTCATCTCCTAAATTCCTCAATCTACCTATCACTTCACACATTTCAATGTTTGCATTATATGACCTAAAAAAGAAGCCTAGGTGATTTTGTCCTGGATTCCTGAATTCAGAGTTTAATTTAAAATACCTTTTGTCAGTCAGGCTGTTACAAGAAAAACATAAGAAAAAAGGCATTGGGTAACAAGGCAAGAAGGGAGAATGACGATGGTTCCTGCCTCTCTACAATTTTGCCTCTGCTACAGCATAAACAGAACTTTTCTAGTTAATGAAAGACATGCAAATTTAAAAGATAAAACTGATTTCAGTGGTAACATTCTTCCATTACTCTATCCTATGCCAGAATATACTACCTCTTTAGCCCTGCATCCAACCTGACTAGAAGTAATACAGCATGATACAGATTTGAGAGGTCTCTGAAGAGCATCATGAACTCTTTTCAATGTTTTGTCCCTAACTACATTCCCAAATTTCCCTGTGTTCTGTTATTGGCCATTTGTGTTCCAGAATGGTTTTCCCTCTCAAGCACTTTGTCTGCATTTATTTAAATTACATCACTCTGCAAACTGGTATTCAGTTTTTCTTTTCCTTTCTTTAAGGCGTGTACTTGTGTACTCCCAACAGACACTGATGTCCCAAAAACCACCTCAGACCTGAGACAGGTGAACATCTATGGCAAGATCCACACTGATTACATGGTTTGTTATTGGTGAATAGACTGAAATTCATCAAGATATCTATGCAAACATCACTGAAAGAGTTGTTGCCTTTCCAACACACTGGCATCACTTCTATTTAAAAATCTTTTCAACAGTATGATGAACTGCCTTCCCAGAAGATGATTTGCAGGGCATTGCACCCACTACTTCTTTATCCCCTAATGTCTTCCACTGTGAGTGGGTATAATAGTTAATTATTCTTAGTGGCAGCACTGTTGTAGCAACAGGCTCCAAGATCTGCAGGCCAAAGCTCACAGGCACAGGTATTATCTCTTAATAGGCTAACTAATATAACTGGAGAAAGGTAAGATTTTTTTGGGGCACACAAACAGCTCTTCTGAAATTATTTCCAAGATAAAAACAAGCTGAGAGGAACTGCTGAGAGTTTAATTAGAAATATATTGGTCAGACTACCTCTGAAAGAAAAAGCATTTGGTAGCTGTTCAGTAGAGGAGATTTTAATGAGGGAAGAGAATAATAAAGTAGCTTTGTCTACAGGAAAGAAAGAGACAGATCATTTATAACCTGGGGAGCAGTTACGTGGGGTAGAAAGGGAGGAAAGGTTATCATGTGCCAAAGAACCAGCATGAGTCCATAGCTTTTGGGGGTCCAGCAGAGTTATAAATTTTAGCTCCCAATCTCATCTTTGAAAAGCAACCAATACTCCCTTCAGAAACAGGACTGATAGATCAAAGTGACTGTTCATAGAAACTGTTTTGGCATTGGTAGTTGCACGCTTTTCTTTTCCTGATTTTTGTCCTCCAGAAATATTTATTAAATCACCAAAGAATTTTGGAACTTCACTTATCATTGATATTTACTGATGAAATATACATATTGCTTACTGTTGCCATATAAGACAACACAGAACAAGATAGCTAATGTAGTAATTTTATACTATGGCCATTTTTGTTCTTTTGGGCAAAACTTCAAGAAGAATCTCATTAAAAGATGCAAAGAAAACAAAACAAAGCAAAACGAGCTGTTTGGAGATTACACAAGCAAAAAGTTGAGAAATTTTGCTCTCGGTCATGTATTCTAACATTTTCAGAATACCAGACATTAGAACTAAAACCCCAAATTATGTACTTGCTTTCTCTTGCTCTCCAAAATGTAATGTTTCCCTGTGTGAATAAACCCATACAATTCACAACAGTGTATCACATCTTCCTTTATGATGGTGCTTTCTAACTTGTCTCTCTGCAGATTTTGAAGATTTAAAGTCTTTATCCTTAAAAAATTTCTACAAAGCAGTTGTTAACTTCAAAGCACGTGTACAAAAATGGGCATATCATGAGGGCAAAGCTATTTCAGGAAATTGATAGGTAAACTCAGGGCTGATAATATGGCCTGCACTCAGAAGCATAACCTGACTTTGATGATGACAACTGAATGTTCACAATGTTTAAAAAATAACACCTTGTGGAGCAGACTGGATACACTTACACTGTTGTGGTGGGTAGATCCTGGTACAAATTATTTCATGTTCTGCACTCAGGTTGTGCTTTTGGTGGGAAACTAGCTATACCACTTCAGAGTAAAGCCCAGGAATACTTACATAAAACACTGGACTCAATCAGGGCCATAAAAAGAAATAATGAGAAGTTAAAATAACAGCACAGATCTACCCTAAGATCAAGTATTACATTTACTGGTTTTAAAATAGAGTGAAATTAGTAATAAAGTAAAATTATGTTTTATTATTAGATCTGATCTTCTGTAGACTTGGAGACAAGGAAGGTTTGTGGAGCTGACAAGTTTCCAGTAATGTTACAGGAATTCATTCATTTTAGGCTGTGCAATGTCATGCAGTTATATTTATCTATCATCCATGACTGAGACATGACCTATTAATATTAGCCAATTTTGAAGTATAAAAATTTATATTTCTCTGTACCTTTACAACATGTCCATTGCCAACAATTTGAGCACACTGCAAATCGGACAAGGTGGATGAAGGAGCTGACTGGACTGGACTATGCTGTTGGCTGGGTTTCTGTTCAGGTAAGCCTGCTGCTTTTCTTCTTTGGGCTGCAATCTGAGACAAAACATTATCTGCACTGCCACCTAAGAAAAAAATAAAATGAAAACAGAGTCAAGGAAACCATTATTTTAAAATATTTGTCAATTCTCAATTCACCTGTCTCCACCATTCACTTTCTTTTAAAAACTGACTGGATGAAGTAAGGGAGGGAATGGTTAAGGTTTGAACCTGTCTGGCAGCTTCCAAGAAAGGGAACAAAAATCAGCTGCAGGAGAAGAGAGAAGCCAGCCTTGTCTAGACACACAGAGCTGACTTTCACACTCTTTGGATATAGGTTTCATCAGCTGCTTCACCATATTGTCTTTACAGCTGCCAGATACAATGCTTGCAGCTGTTTTTAATTGAAAACTGATTTTTATTTTAAACAAAAAGCAAGCAATATGGGTAAGAAAGAGAGACAGCTATATGAAATATATGTTGCAATGAACAAGCATCCACCTGATCCATCGTGGGTGGACTCAATAAAATCAACACGTTTTTTCTGAGACAGGGGCTAACCTATGAGACTTCTACAACAGATATGAGGTTTTTGTTCCCTTAAGTAGGTCCAAAGTCCAATCCTGTTCCAACAAAATTTATATAAGTTTTGCTTATACAGCAGTGGGAGCCCTCAGAAAAGGTTTAATATCTTCTATCACCATCACAAACACTGATTTCTTAGCTGAACCAGATTCAAATTACTTATTAAAAATAAAAGCAGCATGGTACCTGATCTGTTATGCAGTTCTCCTCCATGCCTGTTAATTCCTGCAATGTTATTGGATCCAGCAGAAGAATGGGGAGAATGGTTGAAGTTGTTGGAATTTGAAGGAGATGCGGGTCTTCTTGCAAATGCTGGTAATTTGACTGGTCTAGTACCTTTGCTAACAGATGCCTGGAAAACAAAAAGAAAAATAATTTTAATCTTTCTTATTTGAGTAAAACAAAGAGCAAACTTCAACTGCTATTTTGTGTATCTTAAGTTCTGAAACTTCCACTGAAGAACAAAAGGGGTATCAGAAATAATCTTATTTTACATATACAAATATAGGCAATATATATTTAAATAAATATATA